CCCCTTCTTCTTCTTCTCCTTCTTCCCTCCCCTCCCCCCCCCTCTTCTTCTTCTTCTTCTTCTTCCTCCTCCTCCTCCTCCTCCTCCTCCTCCCCCGCCTGCCAGGGAAACAGAGGGTCGCTCTGGCCGCCGCCGCCGCCTCCCCGGCCCCGCTCCTGCCCGCTCAATGTAACTGAGGCGGCGGCGCCGCCGGATTGGCTGCTCGCCCCCGCCTCGCCCCGCCCTTTCGGCTGAGGGGGAGCCCCGACAACAACAGGCGGCCGGGGAGCGCGGCACAGGGGCGGGGCGGGGCCGGGCCGGGCCGTGAGTGGCGGCCCGGGGGGGGGAGGGGCCTCGGGGAGCCCCCGGCGGGACCGATCCCCCGGCGGTGAGGCGTTTGGGTGGCGGGAGGGTGTCGTCCATGCTCAGGCAGCCGTCAGGCCCCGTCGCTTCTCCCCGAAGTCAAGGGGCGAAGCGGCGGCCGACGCTGACGGGGCGGGGTGGGGGGGGAGCGGGTAGGCTGAGGCGCTGAGGCGGCGGGGAGGGACCGGATCGGACCATCCTGGCCGGAGGTCCGCGCCATCTCGGCTCGCTGGGAGGGGTTGGTTTTACCTCAGGTTACCTCGGGAGAGGAGGAATTACCCCTCCGTGGAGGCGGGGGGGGACTAGGAGAAGGGCGCAGGGCCCTCCCGGTGTGCCCGCGGTGCCCCCCTCTCCCCTGGGCTGTGGGGACGACACATGGGCGCTGCCAGGGCTCCTTCGCTGCTGGCCGACCCACCTATGGGACAGCTCGCCATCTGGGCTACCAGTCCCAGGGCCTGGCTACCCTTCTAGGAGCCCAAAGGCTTCTCCTCCCGCGGCACGAAGAGCCTACGGGGTCTATTGCGGTGCCCATGAGGCACCCTGTTGAGGAAGATTATCATGACTGAGATTGTTACTTTTTTTTTATCCACAGGTTTATTAGCTCCTGCATGGGTGGCAGGGAAGGAGGAAAGGCTGTCTTCTTCCCTCTTGGGACCAGGTAACCCCTCTCCCAGCAGTTACCTGCTTGCTCTGGGAATCTGCCTCCCCACCCCAGAGTCCTGGCCCCATTACCTGGCTGTGGTGTCCAGGTCCTGAATCAGCTCAGAGTCCCTCAAGGTCAGGATATGCTTTTATACTACTTTTCTTGCTCGTTTTGCTTGCGTTGTGACTTTCCAATCATAGGACAAGTCACGTAGGTCACAGGTACTTTTCCACTTATAGAATGGTTAGAGTTGGAAGGGACCTTAAAGGTCATCGAGTTCCAACCCCCTGCCCTGGGCAGGGACACCTCCCACCAGACCAGGTTGCTCCAAGCCCCATCCAGCCTGGCCTTGAACCCCTCCAGGGATGGGGCAGCCACAGCTTCTCTGGGCAACCTGTTCCAGTGCCTCACCACCCTCACAGGAAAGAATTTCTTCCTGAGATCTAATCTAAATCTCCCCTCTTCCAATTTAAAACTGTTACCTCCTCAGTGCCACCTTCGCTTCCATGCCACACTGATCTCCTGTCTCGTTTTTACTTGCAGTTGTTCAGCCAACACAGCCTTTATAAAAAGTCTTGTTTCTCCTACAGTAGAGTTCACCTGGGTAAGAACCTTGACAGTATTCTAAGTGAGGTAAATTAACTCATTCTCTTTCCCTTTCTCTCCAAGCAACGATCAGCATTGTATTTAAATAGGCCCTAGTTATATTTTCTCTTGCAAAACAGTATTTTAATGACAGGTGCCCTTTGTGACAGATGTTGGACCAAATGGCTAAATTTGATACAGATTCATGCGATAATGCAGTTGACAACACCAGGCAAACGTGTTCTTACTTATCTTAAATTAAATACTTAAAAGGCTATTCCTGAAGGAATACACTAGCATCAAAAAGAAATCCTGAAGCACTGTTGAAATTGCTCAAATCCCAAGGCATCTTTTAAATTCATATTGAGCAGCGAAACGATAAAAAAATTATATGCTTGGGAAAGAAAAAATCCACTATTCATTTCCTCATCACAGATCTTCTGGATTTAAGATCGGGCTACAGACAATATCTCTGAAGGAAAGCAGGGAAAAAGGAAGCAGAGCATGGTGAAGGATTTCTGAATTCTCCCAGTTCAGTCCTACAGGGAGCATTCTGATTTAGCAATGTTTGGCTGGCAGACGCAGAAAGAATAAAATAAGTAACTTGCAGGTAACAGCTCACCCAAATAAGATCGTTTCAGGTCGTTTTCAAATAGGAACAGTGCCACCACAAATTAAATATTTTTGCTGGGCCTCACCCTTCTTTCATAACAAGCACCAGGTAAAGACCAGTACTGAAGAAATACCTACAATTATGTCATCCCCTGTCCTGACCCCTGGGTACCTCTGTGTAATCTTGTGTACCACATTAGATTCAAAAGCCAAAGTAAACTTGGGGTGGAAGCAATAACTGCAATGGATTCTGTACGTCATCAAAAATATTACCCATTATGAAAAGCAACAAGTGGTAAGATAGAAAATTATACAAAATGAATTTTTCTATAGGTTGGTCTTTGACTAAGATCAAGGATATGCATTATAAGCTGATTTCCTTAAGAAAATTGGCACTAATAATATTTTTTTTAGCTTTTAAGGTGAAAATGTGTAGAAATGGGAAAAAGTATTATTAATGGTGACCACTAAAAGCCTTACTAGTCTTTCAGTGTAAGAGATACTGTATCAGGGTAATAAAAAATTCTAATGGATCTTCCTTGCTACTGCAAGAGGAAATAAAGGTGTCACAAATCTTCGTTTGCAGTTTTCTACAGTTTTTTCTCCATGGCAATGAGCTACATTTTATATCATTTTTTAAGAACTATTAAGCGCATCATGATATTTACAAATAACATTCACCAAGGAACTCAGCAGGAGGAAACATACTGAATGTGTAACGCTTACCAAAACAACAGAATAAACTATTTAATTAAAAAAACCAACCCATGCAAACCAACAAACAGACACCCCCTCCTCAATTTTCCCGAGCAGTTTTACTCAAACTAGGACAGGAGGAGTCAAAGTGCTTATTGGTGTGCAATTTCTGTAAGCACACAAATCAGAAACTTTAGCTAAAATCTGTGATCTTGCTAAATCAAGCCACTGCTTTAAAAAATACTGAGAATTACTCATTTTACAGCCTTTATAAACATTGCTTGATTTGCCTGGTCAGTGCCTCCAAAACGAAATACAGTGTACCCTCCCCAGTTCCAGAAGGACAGGGAACTGCTGGAGAGGGGACAGCAGAGGACCACAAAGATGATGAGGGGCCTGGAGCATCTCCCTTTCGAGGAAAGGCTGAGGGACTTGGGTCTTTTTAGTCTGGAGAAGAGAAGACTGAGGGGGGATTTGATCAACGCCTATAAATACTTAAAGGGTGGGTGTCAGGAGGATGGGGCCAGTCTTCTGAGTTTCCTACACGTATCGTATCCAACTTTGTTTGAAATCAGGTGTGAATGTATCCAAAGAGCAGTGTCAGCTTGTGAGTCTCATGAAAGGGAGGTCTGATTGATGCTGAAGGCAGGGGAGAAGTGTCCAAAGACACGTGGCTAAGCCCAGAAGTGACTAAGAGGCCTGGTGAGCTCAGGGAGGGGTTGCCAGAAGCAGAGAGGCTGACCTCAACAGGGTCTGGAAACGACTTCAGACTGTACGTCATTATCTATTTGAAGGCCTTCTATTGCTATGGCAACCCTGGAATTGCATGAGTATCTCACCTATGGCTACAGGGAAGGATAGGGGGATTAAAGTAGCTTGGCTCAATAATTAGGAAAGGATACTTTTTTTTTTTCCTGTGGAAGTACAGCTTTTTACCTGCTTGATCCTCTTCCTTGTACCAAGTTGATGGTGCAAGTAATAATTTATATCATTCTGCTTTTCAAGAAAGGTGAGTTTCCTCCTGCACCAGAAGCAGTTTTGAAATTGGGCTTGGTTTAGACCGTTAACTCACCAGCAGTTAATGTCTCTGTAGCGATGCACAGATGGTGAGGTTTTCCTGTTGTAGACCTCTCTGTACCCATCAGCAGGTAGGCAGCCCGGGGGGTTGACAAAAACATTCCATTCTTCCATGGAATTTGGGTTCATTACAGACAGGAAGTTTCTTAGAAAGTGGGTGTTGTGATCAGCTGCTAACACCCCAAAGCATTAGATTTGAGGATCTGAGCTTCCAGCCTGGATTAACTATTAGTCATTCTTAAAAAAAGAAATCAGATTTTTAAGAAGTCTTTCACTCTGTCATTAAAATGACATTTTGTTAAGTGTAAACCCACAATTATAAAAAAGAAAACAAAACCCAACAAAACCCAGGAGAAAATAACACACCGTCCGTAATGATCGATTCCTGACACTGGTTTATTAACCCTGCAAACTGGGAATGAGGGAAGAGACAGTTTCTCCCGTGGCAGCTGTAGGATTTACCTGTTTTGCTGCAGCTTTTCTAGACTTGCTACATATTCCCCTTCTGCTCTCGTTCTTCAGTGCTTGTCTCTGAAGTCACAAAACTGGGAATGAGGGAAGAGACAGTTTCTCCCGTGGCAGCTGTAGGATTTACCTGTTTTGCTGCAGCTTTTCTAGACTTGCTACATATTCCCCTTCTGCTCTCGTTCTTCAGTGCTTGTCTCTGAAGTCATAACATCAAACTTTCTATCAAGGTTCAGGTTCTGCCAGGTGGTTTCAAACCCCTGTTTCCGTAGTCTCTCTCAGCAGTGTTTTCTGTAATTTTTCACTTGTTCGTCCACAAACAACAGCTGGAGTTCACTCTAAAGGTGCTGTACTTTGAGCAATAAAATTATTTGGAGATTTTCTGGAGTTTGTTCTAAAAAGGTTGGGTTTTTTCCCTCTAAATCAGATAACGGAGATTGTAGCTACTCAGGAATAAAAATTAAAAAAGAAAAGTAGACTAAAGATCTATTTGAATAAGATGACAAATTACTCAGTGAGAAGAGAGATGGCAGAAATAAATTGACAACTGTTCTTTATCAGTTTTTGAGCAGTTATGTTTCTGACTTTTCTCCAAGAATATATAATTTTGAGATAATCTAAGTCCTTGGTTATTTCTCCATTTCCAAGTGACATTATTAATAGGTAAGATTTTTGTCACTGGACCTATGCAAAAATAATAATTCATGCTGGTTTCATTTCTGAGTTAGTATGGGAGTTCTCCTGAACAGCCTTTGCTGGTTGCAAATAAGAAGAACTTACTTCATTCCGTTTCCCTATAATTTTCCATCAGCCATATCCCTGAAGCCTATGCCAAAGGTTGACTTTTATCCAAGAAGTCTTATTAGACTGGATACCAGATTGCTGAAGGAACTGTGTCTCTTGGGAATTCAAGAATGTAGCAGGAATGCTGGTGCTAACATGGAGCTAGCCAAGAGCACAAGGGCTTAAACAACACAGTAAGGATGAAAAAGTACCGAGAGGCTCCAGAGATGGTGGAGCCTCTCAAATCTCAGATTCTTTTAGGAAAGGCTAGGGATGTACAAAGCTGTTCTGTACACTGCAAAATGATTTCCTCTGCACCATAAACCGCTTGGAAGGATGTATTTTTAAATCGTGGCCTCGGTAAACAAACATTTGAAGCAGGGTTTTGTTGTTCTGGTTTGTTTTGGTTTTTTTGAGACGGTAACAACTGCAATATCCTCACATAAGAAACCGAATGTTCTTGTTGCTGTGTCTGGAACGTTTTGCTGGTAGACAGTAACTGTTCCTTTTCTTGCTTTCTGTTCTATCTTCAGGCATTTTTCCAAGCTGGGTCTTTGTTTTGTAAGTGAGGTTGTTGACCACTGATCATTGAGGTCCTAAGAACTGCATGCAAACCCAGACTAAGGGAATATTTAGTTCCCGTGTTTTTGGATATGGAAATACCCTTGTCTATGCATGTATCTGGTGCCACAGACTAATTATTACATTATAATGTGGATTCTTATGAATGTCTGGTGATAATAGTGTTATTACCTGACGTGAGCCCTATTTTTCTAAAAAAAAAATAATAAATAAATATACGTGAATAGCTTTTTATCTTTGTTGGTTAACAAATTATTGAACCATTTTGTCTTCCCTCCTGATTTACCTTCAGTTCTGACTGGAACATCATCTCAGATATTACTACATTTGCAACAGTACTGCTGCCACCAGCTTCGCTATCCTGCTTCCACACAGCATGAAATATTAACCATGGTGGTTTGGGAGAGTGCCAGTTGCTAAGAGAAAGTGAGAAACAAGGAGAAGCTGCAATCAGGAATGACCTTCTATTGACACACAGTTTAAATTTTTTGCATATGTTTGGGTTTGGTGTTTTTTCTTTTTTTTTTTAAACAGGACTGAAAATTCTGACTTTTAAAATCTTAGAAAAATAAACCGTTCCGATCACATCCTTTGTATCTGTTTTCCCTGACAGTGACAGCCTCAATTGGCAGGTTCCTCAGATAACACTCTCCCCAAGTGTCCGTGAAAGCAGGTGGGTCTTACAGCACAGAATTAAATAAATAAGCTCAAGTTGGGGAGAAAAAAAGCCTTTTTGATAAGAGGTCCTCCTAGATGGCTGCTGGTATCCATTTCCTGTCCAATCAATACTCTTTTTTATTTTTGGGCTAGTATTTAATCGTGTGGGAATATTGTCTAAAAACTTTTCAGAATTTCCTAGTACACAAAGGTAAGGGTTGACTCACACCTCTAATTTTGTCTACTAATAAAGCTTCAAATTTCTCCTGAAGTCGTGAGTCATTTCTGGTTTCATTTTAAAAATTCAGCAGTGCTGCAGCCCAGCCCCAACAAACGTCACACGGGTTTCCAGGCGCTCCAGTATTTGCTTGTCTGTGTCTGCTAAAACACTTCCGATGCGTTTGGGGGGAAAAGGCTTTTTCATGTATTTTCATTAGGAGTCAAGAGATGTGAGATTCTACTCTACCCTCCTTCCATCGCTTGTTTTTACCCATATTTGTGAGCAGTTTGCAGACCCTCCCCTGCGGTGATGGACAGGATAGTGAAGCTGTGTTGTGCCACAAGCAGGACCCTGAGCACTGAGGTCTGGGTGTCCAGCTAGCAAAGCCAAATCCATGTATTTCCAGTCTTGATCAACATACTCATCAATGACCTGGCTGAGGGGACAGAGAGTACCCTCAACAACTTTTACGATGTCACCAAGGCTGGAGAGTTGGGTGAAAAGGAACCTAATGGATTTCAACAAGGGCAATTGTAGGGTCCTGCACCTGGGGAGGAATAATCCCATGCACCGGTACAGGTTGGGGGTTGACCTGCCGGAGAGCAGCTCTGCAAAGAGACACCTTGGTGTTTCTGGTGGACAACAAGTTGTTCATGAGCCAGCAACCAAGCCCTTGTGGCCAAGAAGGCCAATGGTATCCTGGGGTGGATTAAAAGCGTAGCCAGCAGGTTGAGGGAAGTCATCCGATTAAGAGCGTAGCCAGCAGGTTGAGGGAAGTCATCCTCCCCCTCTGCTCTGCCCTGGTGAGGCCCCCTCTGGAGCTCTGTGTCCAGTTCTGGGCTCCCCAGTTCAAGAAGGACAGGGAACTGCTGGAGAGAGTAGAGCAGAGGGCTACAAAGATGATCAAATGAATGGGGCACCTCTTTTATGAGGAAAGGCTGAGAGAGCTGGGTCTGGTTAGCCTGGAGAAGCCTGAGAGGGGACCTCATCAGTGCTTATAAATATTAGCCTGGAGAAGCCTAAGAGGGGATCTCATCAATGCTTATAAATATCTAAAGGGTGGGTGTCAAGAGGATGGAGCCAGTGGTGCCCACTGACAGGACAATGGGCACAAATTGGAACACAGGAAATTCCAGCTGAACATGAAGAAAAACTTCTTCCCTTTGAGGGTGGCAGAGCCCTGGAAGAGGCTGCCCAGAGAGGTGGTGGAGTCTCCTTCTCTGGAGACATTCCAAACCCACCTGGATGCGTTCCTGTACAACCTGCTCTGGATGACCCTGCTTTGGCAGGGGGGTTGGACTAGATGATCTCTGAAGATCCCTTCCAACCCCTACCATTCTGTGATTCTGTGATATACTCAGCAGTCCTGGCTGGAACTAGTGTTTTTTTTGCTACTAGAGTAGATGCCAGAACCTGGACACCAGGTGTCAACTCCAAAAATAGCTCTGCGTTGCTCCAGCAAAATTAACTGTGTGCTACTTTCTAGGGGTGGTGGCATAGAAATCACCAGCCTTTTTCAGCCCAATTATCTCCATTCATTTCTGAATAGGTTAGGTTCTAATTTAAGGGACCGTGCAAGAAGGAAGATGTAAAAAAAAAATAAAAATTAAAAAATCCTATGCTAGTACATCATACAGCTTCTCTATGCACTTGTGAGGAACCCAGATCTGCTGGATTGGACCTCAGTATGGGACTGGTGTCTTGGCTTCCTAACACCAAAAGGGAAGGCACGTGATGTGAGCAGAAAATACCAAAGAGTTCCAAAAATGGTATGTCCTGAAGCAGAAAATACCTCTGTCACATGAACGTCAGCGGGCAAACGTGTCTCACCGTTTCAGTGGTGAACTGAAGAACTGCACCTAAAAGCTGGGGTGCATCAAATCTATTCACTTGTTTTTCTACTTTTGACAGCGAGCGGTGGCTGCTGTTTAACTGTGTCCAGACCATCACAAGCCACAAAACAGGAAATGCAAGAGGAAGCTGACACTGAGGAGTTCAGATTTCTTGCCACTGCCGTCATCACAAGTGTTTCCTCTTCCTGAGATTAACAGGGGTCACTCATCAAAACTGAAATTAAAGAGACACTCTCCAGTCAAACTGGATGGTATAGACTGGATAGACCTCTGTCTTGCATCTGGTTGAATCAAGGTTCTAGATTAACCTGCATATTCCCTGTCACTTGCTAACTTAAAAGCAGGATAAAAATAAGGAGAAAAAAAAAAAAAGAGCATTTAAAATGCGTGTCAGGAAAATATCCATCATAGCACTGGGTTATTCTGCCAATAAAATATTGGAAATGATGGTAGTAAGAATATATATTTGATCTAACGAAGAGTAGAAGATGGGAAAGGAAAAGCCTTTACTGGCAAGGAGGCCTTTTTGGTTGAACTAACTAGTCATGGGATTAGTTTGGTCACAGTTAATGAACTTACTACAGGATAAAAAAGGAAGAGTTTAGAGTTAGAGTATCTCTGAGCATCACTCTGGTGCAGTTCAGTTTCACAGAGAATTTTACTCCTTTCGTAGCTATAGTTGAAGTCACTACATGTCCAGTCTATCATGCTCTTAGTTCTCAGTAAAACTGATTTTCTTGAGAAGCTGAATGCTTTGTCTTTTTCCAGGATGAATTTTTTTCCTTAGAACTTTGCTAAAGGTCAAGGGACTGTGTAATTACTACATTTTGAAGACTGTCTGTGGCCTTTTTTTTTTTTTTAAATACAGTTTTAGCTTGTGATTGAATCAACTCTCAAAAATGGACTGGCCTACAGACACACCAGAATTAG